GGGGGGGGCTGCTAAACTAGCGCCAGCAATCAGAGGTACAAATGTAAAAATAAATTATGTCTTTATTCAGGTCAGGTCCCAGCAGGATTGTGGCCACATGAATTACCAGGCATTGAGGAGAGCTTTAGGCTGACTGGCCTCCCAGGTGCTGGCCCTACCCCGACAGCGGGCTGCAGGTGCCGACAGGGCAGGTGCCGCTCGCAGGTGTGGCGAAGCAGGTCGGAGCGCAGCTTGGCCTTGAGCATGGAGAAGGGCTAGGCCGGCTGGCCCCCCAGCTGGTGGCCCGACAGCTGCAGGTGCTTCTCCCGGACGTGGCGGATCAGGTTGGAGCGCAGCTTGGCCTTGTACGGGCACAACTTGCACAGCTGCTGCGGTTCCATGTTGCACTCGTAGCGGAGGTGGCGGGTCAGGGACTTGCGGTACTTGTACGGCTTGAAGCAGTCGGGGCAGACGAACAGGCCGGACAGCGCAGACGGCAGCATGGAACCTGGAACACGGCGTCAATGATGTGCGTCAGGAGGAAAGGCATCCCGACAAGGGGGTGGTGGTGGGATGAGAATGCTGCAGAAAAGGGGCGCCGTGAATGTAATTAGATTAACTAAGTTTTATTGTTCAAAGGGAAAATAGGTACAAAGTACAGATCATTCCGGGCCGTCCTCTCCTCTATTCACGTACTAAGCTGTCCAGCATGCATGTTCTGAGACGTCGCCGCGGCTCACAGATCATGGGTAGTTGTGAGAGTTCCGCAGGTGCTTCTTCAGGTTGCTCTTGAGCTTGCTGCGGTGTGGGCAGAAGGTGCACTTGAACTGCGGCTCCTTGCCGCACTCAAAACGGATGTGCTTGTGCACCGAGGAGTGGTGGAGGTACGACTTGCCGCACCCCTTGCACACGAACGAGGACTTGCCCGAGCCTGGCGGGCCCTCGCTCTGGAACCAGCCGGGGCCGCTAGTCGGCCAGGACGATGCCGATGGTTCCAGGGGCGGGCCCGGGTGACAGCCCGGAGGAGGGCCGAGTGCAGCGGGGCCGTAGCCGTGGTATAGAGCGCCGGGGCCGGGCACGGGGCCGTAACCTGCAACACAACCGACGCCTGAAGGCTGGTCTGAGGCCGAGAGCATGTCGAGGCCTTCTTGGGGGTGCCGGCCAAGAGTGCCTCACACTGTTGGAGACGAGCGGTTGGAAGGAGGACACTCCGTTACAGACTAGTCGATGGTATTTATTTTACTGAGGTACAGTATGTGTACTACTTGGTTTCTTTAAAGAGAAAAAGAGCTACTCCCACAAAATGGTACTTTGGTTTAAAATTATATTGAAAACAATT